ACGTGTGCTCTTCCGATCTCTTTTGGCTATCAAAAACTGAAATTATTTTTTATGTCTGAAAATATGCTATTTAGTCCAAAATATCTTATTGCAGCATGACTGCAATATTTTTGCGGAAACACTATATTTTTTATAAAATATTATCGTTTGTCATTTTGCACCAATTTTGAATGTATCAACGTGCCCCATGTATCAACCAGCCCCGGTCTTTCCTATATTTTGCTAGCGAAGTTATGCGATATTTTACCATTTCAACATTAAATATCTTTTCAGAATGGTCGTTGACCTATTACTTTTTTGTGACTATTCAAATCGTAATTTTTTTAATTATTATAATCTCATTTTTCAGAAAAGTCTTAAATGTGTAAATCATATTTGTGTGCAATTAATCAAAGAAGTGTCTCCGAGCCCAACCTGTCACTAAATTATACGAAAAGTTACATTTTTAACATTTTTTCTCTCTCTTATTTCATTGATAACCTACCCTAGAATTTTGCACACGTCAAGTTCGGCACTTTAACTTTATTATAAAAAAATTAGATATTTCTTAAATAATTCGATTTACTAAAGAACATCACGTTAAACATTTCTTTTCTATCATTTCTTAAATGAAACAGAGAGAAAACAAAAAGGAATAGATGCTAGGACAGCCAACCATTCGGCAAAGCTGTTGTAGCGTTTATTCTATTTATTCTCTATCTCGCTCATCAAAAAGAAGCGTTTAGCTTGCGAGTAAAATGTTAAATAGGCTTATATATATAAAATTTATAAAAGTCATTCAATATTTAAAATCATTGTTCTTAAAAAAAAACTTCGTATAAAAATAGATTTTATTTTATATTATTTAATGTTTATTTCTTATAAAAATTATCGGGTTTATCTCTTTCGGGTTTTATAAATACTAGATTATAAGAAAATATTAAAATTCCATTATATTAATTTCGTTTACGAAATTTTTAAATCAATTTTAGATACAATAATATGGATCAACGTGCACGCACGTATACATGGGATATTTAATTTCTCTCGCATTATTTTTTAAACACAGATTCTCTTTGAAATCAATGTTTTCTTTGTATTTGTGTATCGTATTTGTAACTTCTAAAGCCCTAATAAAAAGGAAAGATATATAAATTGTGAAATCAAAGGGAAAAACTACCATGTTTATATTTTTTTCTCATCATTGGAGCATCATATTTAAATTATCTTTCTTTTACTTTTTAAATATAATTATATTTTGACCAATATTTTTTTCTACACATTTTTTCTAAATATTAATTATAATTTTAAAAAGTGAAATTTTTTGTATCTTTAATTACACAATTGAAAAAAAAATTGTTTTAAATTTAATGCATTTTATATATCCCAAACAATTCGGTTCATCCAAATTTTTTATTAATTTAATATAAGATGAATATGTTATAAAATAAGATTAATATTATATGAAAAACTTACACAAAAAATTTAATATTTTGACACAATTTGAAACCAAATTATGAAAGTATTTCTTCAGTAAAATTAATATTTATAACATGTTAAATTAACACGTATATTTTATTTATTTTATTCGCTTTAGAATATATTTATTTTAAAACTACATAATTTTTATGATTTATTCATGTATCCATAAATTGTATTATTTTAACACAAATAAATATTGAAAATCAGTTTAACACAAAATATTCAAATAACACAATTACATTAAATCAAGTGTTAAATTAACACTCAATATCTTACAAATTCAGCACCGAGATTTTAACAAGGACGGGTTTTAACACAAATACAAAAAGTTTTTTTACTCCGTACTTTTAATTTTTAATAAAAAATTTTTTAAAACCAATTGCAATCGAGCAAATCTCTTATAGACCATTCATTTGTGCAGAATTAAAACAAATTATAAAAATCGTTCAATGTTATTTCCAAGAAAAAAATAGATAAATGTAAAAGAATATGTTTCTATAAGAGAATACTCCAAAGATTTTTATGTTATATGGAATCACAATCTCACGTTTTTTGCAACGTGAATTATTTCTTGTGTTTTTTCTTTATCTAATTAAAATCAAATCAACAAGTGAGGATTTGACGTTAATTATTGAGATATATGGAAGGCCACAGAAAGTTATTTCGAAAAAAAATTAAGTCTGAAATAATGCTTTATTTCAATTGTGTTTCTTATGATACTAAATTGATTTTTATTAATAGTTTTATTATGATGATTATTGGGATTTTATCATCCAATAATGGGTGATTTTTATCATAAATTATTGTTTTATTGTTTTTATTAATATTATATAGTTAGTTGTATAAAATTTCTAGTTTATGTGTATAAGATATATATACAGTTTTTGTTTTTTTATTTTTCATTTTTACAGGAAATTCTCTTTTTTGTAGATGCTATTATAAAATTGGAAAGAATACTAGAAGCATATAAAAAATAAATTTAATAATAAAAATTTAATAATAATTGTGTATTTAAGAAATTTTTTAGTTATTCTAACGATTTAAACCGCAACATTATCGTAATATTTAATATTTTAGGCGTTTATATATACATATATATACATATATATATATATATATATGTATATATATATATATATATATATATTATCATATATAAACAAAAATCATTTTATCTTAAAATATGCAGGTAACATTTTACTTAAAAAAAATTAAAACATTGATATTTTAATTATTTTTCTAAGTAGTCTCCCCTTTAAATAAATTATTCCACTGACCTGTATAGATCGTTCTCGGTGACGATATCGCGAATAGAGTCCTCCGGATCGACAGGGACTCCCACTGTTCTAGATGACGACGAAAGAATGCGCCGCGACGGCCCTGCGACGCCGACGCTGCCGATAACCTCATCGTAGATGCTTGAGTCTCGGAGAGCACTGGCCGCAATTAAATCGTCCTCGGACGCCGTGGTCGGTAGATCGACGCATGGACTGGGAGATCTGGAAATCGCACCCAATAGATCCTCACTTCGAGAATGGCGCATCTCCCTGACACCGTATCTATCAGTCCTGCGTTCCATTTATCGTTTCTAGCAGAAGGTGTGGCCTCAAGAAAATGCCACACTCGGTGGCGATACTCCCATCCGGACAATCCCACTGTGTCGATCGATCTGTTCCGATTCTTTCCGTTATACGGACGCTTTACTTCCAATCAGCTGATTCGTTGCGTGAGAACACCGTCAGAACGCAGTCTCCTAATTCGTCAAATTTTATGTATTGACTACTCTCTTTGATATTGATTACTTCTTTAAGTATTTAAATAACTGAAGTACATTTTGATATTGAATATTTTTATCATTTCCGTGATTGTCGATTCTTTACTGAAAGCGTTCCTACAAAGCCAAGCCTTGTGCCAAAGGAATAGGCGATATCTGTTATTCGCCTGAATGTGTGAAATTTCAATCGAAATTATTGAGATTTCTCATGCACGATTCTTCTTCAGTTCCTGCTGACCTCGATATTTTCCTTTTCTGTCGCCTTCTTTACACACACACACACACACACACACACAAATTTATATGTATATATATATATATATATATATATATACAGAATTTCCTCCGATGCAAGCACTTCCTCGTTTCACATCAAGCTAATTTTATAGAGTTTCACTCTGGAGAAAATTCTTTTGAAGAAGATTTATATTAAAATAGCTGCAGGCGCAATTCACAATAAAAATCTTCACGAATTCTCTCGTGAAACCGAACTCCCTTGCTTTGCATTAATTCAAGATATTTTTCTACGTATGCGGTGTCGCAAACGTTTACGTTAGTAATTTAACGTAGTTCAACGGGCAGTGACGGGTTTCATAATTCTTCGTCTCTTTGCTCGCTGGGATGTGTCGTGCTCACACACGAACGCGTTAGTAGCACTGGCCACGCTCTTTCGTAATTGTACTAGGTAAAATCGTGAAAATCAACAGGATCGCTTCTTCTATCCGCTTCGCTCTCTTACCTCCTTCGCGGAGATAACGGACCTCCGGAATCAGGATTCTCCGTTACGTCCGTCGACGCGTTAAAACGTTTTCCTTCTTGAAAAGAGCGGACTTGATATAGCCTGACGAATGCGAAAACGCTCCTCGATGGAAGGAATAAACAATAATTTCGAATCAAAGTTCCTATAGATTTTTTTCTCGAACACAAATTAAAACTCTGCAGTTCGGTAGTAACAGCAATGTATGATATATTACTGTTAAATTAAAAATTTTCTAATCTTCTTTCAAATTGATCTTCTTTCGGAATAATACGTAAAGGACGGCACAAGAATACGCGAATGTTTTTATTATATATTTCAGCATTAGTTCCTAATACTCCAAAGTTTTGGTTACCTTCTATATTTTCAGGAACAATATGTAAAGGAACATCAAAGAACATCATTTCCCTCGAGTGTAAGAGCTTAGAAAGCCGTCGACATAACGCGAGTTTCACGAGCAGCATCCGCAGAGCGACTCCTATGTGTCTCCAAACACGTCACGCGTCCAGTCTAGGCACACGCTAGCACGTGTCACATCCACCTCGTCATTCAGTGAGCACTCATCCCAAGGACGTGGCACCTGAACGTTCCCGAGGTCGATCGCACGCGATCGATGCGCGTACGATGATCCTCGGTCCTCGACACCGTCGTCAGGCGGCCATTTTCGTCGGGCACCACGGTCGCGCGATTTAAGCTGGGCTTCGTTCGGAATCCACCGAAACGAAACAGTGAATTCTACCTACGGACCATGCGCGACCAATAATCCACTACGCTCCGATACGCGTCCCCATCGACCGGCCGCACCACTCTGCTCCGTTCAGTTCCGTCATGCGTCGCGAACGTTAACCGCCGATCGGACGGACGACTACCGCCGGTCTGTTGGATGGATCCTTTTTTCGCGCTCTCGCCTCTCGCTACCTTTCCCCCCGGCGAAGCGAGGAGCGTCCATAAGCCGCCAGTTCTTTCTCGTCGAAAAGGAGATCGGAGAGGGAAGGAGCATATATTATACTAACTCATACATATACCATTTCGTTCCGCTTATAGGTAGGGCTTGTCTTCTAGAGGTTGTGATCCATATGGCTAGGTGATATCAGCTTACTCCGGATGACGATAAATGCATCGTCGAGGTTTTTTATATGTATGTATGGCGTGTGTGTATTTTGTGTGTACACACATATCATATATACATATATGTATACATATACTATATAGAAATAGTTTCAATAGCGCCCACTAATTAGCGTTATTCCTTGTAACAAATTTAGTCGAAAAGTCCTAAATCATTTTTTCTACAATGCTCAATGAATAATTAATGCAATAATGAAGACTTTATTGTAGAAAAAAATGGTTTATAATTTTTCGATTCAATTTCAATTTTTTACAAGGAATAACACTATAATATATAACCAATATAATTGGGCGCTATTTAAGATACACTCTGTGTACAAGAGTACCAACAAATAAAGATAATTTTAAAAAATTCTGATTAATTCTGATGATTCTTTTTTTTAATACCATTCAAAATTCTAGTTTGATTTTTCATAAGTAATCAACATTTCATAAGACAAATCAATTTGGATTTAATTCAACGGATTAATCATTATTGTGTAAAAAGTTAGATTATTATTTAAAGATTATTTCCCGTGAAATACACAGCTTAATATTCTTTTGCCATTTACAAATGTTTTTTATGGTCCATTAAAAGTTTCTTAACGTACACATTAGTTCCTTCTTGATTTTTTTTTCAAATATTTTGATAAAGAACTATTGCAATATGTATGTAACACACAATAAATACATGTCAATATTTTCATGGGGCAAAATCTTCTGTTCTGTCTTTAATAATATGCAATAATTTATATACATTTTGTTTTTATGCTTTTAAACCATGCGTCGGTTATTATAATATTCAAAACGTGATCTTGTATCAATGCTAGAAATGTAATCCTTTTTTTCAATTTTCATGTCTTTAAAAGACGTAACATTGTATTTATATCGTATCTATATTTCAATCTTTCTCTTTTAAAATTTATTTTTAAACATTTCTGTAGAATCGGAAATAAACTTGGATATTTTATTTATTAATCACTTTCTAAGCATTCACTTTTATCACTAAATCATCCAAATCGTCATGGCCTTGACCTTATTTTCTCGATTATCTTTGGAAAAGCAATTATATTTTTTGGAACAATCGGAGAAGTTAAATCTATTTAATCGCAATTGAACTTCTTATCAAATGGCATGACAGCTGTTTGTTTGAACAATTCAGTCAAACACGATAATAATGTTGATCATGATGGGCTCAGAACAGATATAACATTATGTGATTTTAACTTATACATAATAGATTGATGCAAACTTTAGTAAAAAATTTTCTTAAAATTCTTAAAAATAATTTTTCAAAACTTACATAAACTTTATAACTTTCTAGAAAATTTTTTAGACTTTATATACGACTTAACATTTTTTTAGAAATGTTGAGAAGATCTACATCTTTTCTAGAATTATATTCCTATATGAAAATATTCTGAACTTTTTCATTTTTAATATTTCATTCATAATTTCCAATAACTTTTTTGAAATCTAAAAGAAATTGAAAATATTTTTTTAGAAATTTAAAACTTCCTTCACAAATTTCCAAAAATAAATTTAAAATATGAGAAATTCTTAAAAATATGACGAGATATGAGAATTTTTTCATTAAAGAACTAAATATATCTTATTAAATTGTAATTATACACTGCATGTATAATATTCTTTTATGTGGCACAAGTGCTAAAATTTATAAAAATTTATTTTATTTGAGCAAATCATAGAAGCTTTTGAAACTTCTAAATACAATTAATATTAAATTACCTTTAACAAGCAATTTTGTAACAAGATGTGTACTGAAGTAAATATTGTTCTTTCCTTTCTGCAAAAGTATCAAACAAGAGATTTTGCAGTAGGTATAATTTTTATTTTGTTCAAATATCTTGATCATTAAGATTTCTTAGTATTGAATATTTTGACGATTTAAATTATCGCAAAAAAAAAAAGATTTGTAATCAATAATTGACTAGATACAGTTAAAAGTCCCTTCGGCATTCGACACTCAATTTTTTCGATTATTAGTGTAATACTCAAAAGCCTAGTTAATAATTGAAAAGCCAAGTAATAATTGAAAAGCAAAGACATATTACTGATTGTTTCAATCTGATATAAAATATGATATTTAAATCAGATCTATCCAAGCTTTTAGCTCATGAATAAAAGATTTTTCTTTCTCCATTATTTTTTATTGAAGAAGACAGAAAAACAAAAATAAAGAACAAACAATGTAATTTAGTTAATTAATTCTCATACATAAATCACTATGCAAAATATACATATGTCCATATGCTACATTAATATAACTGATCATTGCCCTAATAGTAAGCGAGTAGAAATAAAAAGCCCTTTTATTGGATAGCCTGAATGATTGAATTACAATTCAATATTAATTTCATGATTTATTCATGATAATAATTATAATAATTATAAAATAATGACTATTTTTAAAATAAATTAACTTGTAATACAGCATTAAATTAATGATTTATCTTTAATTAATATAAATAATTAACTTATTGTACAATTAAATATTAAATTTAATTTATCCTTCTTTATTTTTGTAATGTTTTAAAGAAGTATATTTAAAGAAGTTATAAGAAAATGGCAATAAAATCTTAAAAAACTTAATATAACTTTGATAAAAATTTTTTACTTATCATAATGTTTGTTCCTTTGAAACAAACAATTCTTACCTTTGCTTTTTTGTATCATTAAAAACAACAGAGATATTCTAAATTCTAAATGATGATAACGAGCTACAGCAAACGTCTTATATGTATATGCCGACGGTACTACAACTTTTAAGCTTTATAATACAAGATCTACTTAATCAAAAAATATTTTATCTATGTGTTTTGAAAAGCTGTCGAAATAAGCTACAAAAATATGCAATAAAAAATGGGAGTTTCATTTAAAAAATTTGAACCTGACCTTTTCTTGACTTTGACAGCGCCATCCAAGGTCAAACCAATGGTACCATTTTATGTACCCCTTGAAGTCAAACAACTTTTATATAAAACTATTTCTTGTGTCTCTCTTAGTTTCTGAGATATCCGCCTGAGGCGATTAAAATGCTCTACCCTATATATAGATCCAGGTCACCCGGAGGAGCCGGCATCTACGTATTTCTTATGAAAAACTGAGTCGAAAATATTAATAGCAAAATGTTGAAATGTCAATAGTTTGTGAATGATGAGCTGTTGAAACTGTTCAACTACATGACATTAAGAGCGCGCCGTTGAGCGATCGGTCGGCGCGCGACGGACACCACTAAACTACACGGTGCCGAATACCACAAAGGTTCGGTGAAATCTTTATTAACATCTATTGCTCTTATTCTTAAATTGAATCCAATTTAATTGATGTGAAGTCGCAAATTCAACATCATTTTAAAAGACCGCACCTGATCGGCCGGCGCGCTCTTAATGCCTGTG